GAAATCCGTAACGTTTTCCAGGAACTCCGTGACAGTTATCATTAGAACTCCAAACAAGTTATCATAAGAACTCCATCCTTCGTGTAACACTTCCTCCCCCGTGAACCCATTGATTTTGAAACAATTTTTAATAGTTTACGATCTTAAGACAACTCTCCTTCTGTAGATCATCCTAATAATTATTGGCGTCCGCGCCGAAGCGCGGCGCCCCTTATGGAATTAAATCGGATTTTGTGAAAGGGCGACAGCAACTTCTCGAGCCTTTTAGTCGGTCATAATAAAAGATCAGTATGAGGGTGCTTGATTATTATTTATTAAAAATGAAATGTCGCGATATGTACAATGAATAGTGAACTGGAGAATTTCGCAATGCAAACATTTTCAAATGAAATAACCTTTTCCGTCTCTTCGGTTTTTTTTATTTATCATTTTGTAGTACACAGTGGGTTATTATGGTATGTTAAAATAGAATGATGAGTTGATGACCATCATAGAGGGATGTACTCCTATCGGTAATTCCCGGTCTCTCCCGTTCTATTTTGACCGGGATTTACTAGTGACCGGCGAATAGAATCACACGTTTATTGTCCGGTTTCTCTCGATTTCGGAGTAGATGTTTGATATCGTTACAGAACAGAGCAAATATTTTACAGAAAAATAAGCTTTTTTTTCCAAAATGAATGTTTGTCACTTAGTTTGGTTACAATAATTAATAAACATAGATCAACTCTCAAATTTATTGATTATTTTTATACATAAACATACAATTCGAAAAAAATCGAACAACAATAGCATGTTTCATTTTATCTATATGAGATAAAAACAATAAATATGTACAATAATTGAGAAAAAAGGTACATTTTTATGGTATTAATATGACACTATCAACTTTGAAACATTTTATTTAATTTGTTATTCGTGTTTAGTAAAGATGCCGAGGAATTATTCAAAGGTACAAATTAGATTTTATGAATTATTCAATTAATTGATAATTTAGAAAATTATAAAGAAAAATACAAATGTACATGTACATAGTTTAAGAATAAACAATATTATATATTGAAAGATTAACCATAATTTACTGACTTTTTCCAGTTAAGTTTTGACTTATAATCGTCGGTCAATATGACAATTGAATTCTTAAAATTTATTTTAAAAAAAGGGTAGTAAACATAAAAAACTCAGTATTAAAAAAGCACATAAAACACAAAAAAGAGGAAAACAATATTCATAAAATCTGTATTTTTATATTAAAATAGCTATTACAATTATTGTATAATAAACAATTATGCTCAACATGATCAACATGGTAATATAGCCAGTATCATATTTTTACTAAGTGTGAACAGATACCTTAAGAGGGGGTCTTCGCTAATAGTGATAACATATTAAGGGACAATTCCACAAGTGTGCTGTTGATCATGCGTTACACATATATATGGATTATAAATGATTGTATACATGTATATCCGTTGCTATTAATAATCACGATCATAAAAAAACAAGTAATATTCTAATCTCTAGCATGCCAATCGAAGTTAATAATGAACAATGTCTTTCGTCCGTTCATTCTGGTAAAAACCAATTAACCATTGAAAAGTTTATATGAATATCTTGTCACAATATGTCTACAAGTTATTCTTCACTTTCTGCATTTCTTGCTTGGACGCCCTTTGATGCTTTGCATCAATGCTTTTCTTGTTTCGTATTATTATAAAAACTGTTAATGGGATATCAGACAAAAATGAAAGACAAACTATAAAATGGGTGCCCCCACACTCCACTCTTTTGTCAATCTTATGACTCTAGGTCAAATATTTTTGGGCTGCATGTGCCACAAGTCGAAAGCTAAAAACCTTTTACTAAGCAAAGGGCAAGAACTTTACAAATACTGAATAAATCCACAAGCGAACCCCAATGTGTATAAGTGCACATGCTGACGAACATTCTTGTAAACTTTAAGACCTACAGGTCAAATACTATTTGAGCTATGCATTAACAAGTTCAAAATGGCCAATTTATACCAAGTCAAGGACAATAACTCTAACAAAACTGAAAACAATCCACATGAAAAATCTCAGGTGCATAGCTTCACAGTGATGTTGATCATTATGCCTGCAAAGTTGATTGATTCTAACTCAAACACTCAATGAACAAATAATACAACATAATGAAACAGTTTTTAAGTCAAGGGCTATAACTCTACAAATACTGAATAAATTTACAAACGAAATCCAAGGTGCACACTTAAATATGCTGACCAACATTCCTGTTAAGTTTCATGACTCTAGGTTAAATACATGTTGAGCTACGCACGATACAAATTGAAAATCACAAATTTTCACTTAGTCAAGGGCATTAACTCTGACAAAAACATATTAATTCACAAGTGAAACCCCAGATGCAAAACTTCACATGCTGATCAACATTCTGTGACGTTTCATGACCTTATGTCAAATACTTTTTGAGCTATATGTGACACAAGCTGAAAATTGCAAATTTTTACTAAGTAAAGGGCAATAACTCTAAAAACTCTCTATATATATATATCCACACGAAAATACCCAGGTGCACAACTTCACATGCTGAGCAACATTCCTGTTAGGCTCCATGACTAAAGATCAAATACATTTTGAGTTGTAGATTTTTACTAAGTCAAGGGCAATAACTCTTAAAATACTAATGTTCATGGCCTTTATGATGTCTGGCGGTTACACTATTTGAGAAGAGCATGGAAATACACATAATCAGTTATCATTTAACTATGTAGAATTAAGTATGTCTACCAATATTTGTACACACTAAACTAATAATGTGTCCAAAAAAATTAATTTATTTTTAAGATAATACTAGAAATATAAACTTATACCTTATAATCACATTGAATTTATTTGCTCAAAAAGTAGAGCATCATTATTTTATATATTTTCTAAAATTCACAGAAAAAATCACTCACAAAGTCCCTCGTGAAAAAGTCTCTGAATATGCTGATTTCTACCTAAAGCACTTAAACTATTATCCTACCTGAGATAAGACGCTTTGATCTGATATTATCCCCTATTATCCGCTACCCCCCCGCCCCCAGTCCCAGTTACAACCCCCAAAAATATTATTTAAAGTCAATTTCCACATTTAGTATTCATTACAAAATTTATATGACGCTATTATACATAATTTTCATTTTACCTCTATAGTATTAGTTAGGGGGAGGAGGTAGCGGTAGGTGATAATATCAAATGAAAGCGTCTTACCCCTGTGGAAGATACTAAATATTTTTTATAATATTTATGTCATTAAAGAGCACTAGCAATATACAATCGAATAAATATTTTGAAACAATAGACGTACATCATCGTGGTATCAAGATACTAAAATTAGCAATAGAAAAACGCAAGAACTAAAATACTAAAGAAAGGATCATACTTAAAGTTTACATTATGATATCTATTTTAAACAAAATTAAATGGAATATTCTATGTACAGAGTGGCACAATAAAAAAACATATATCAAAACCAAAACAGATGAAAACATTTTCCAATTTGATATATCTGAACTTATCCAACCAATCTTTGAATCATACGAAATATCCGACAGCAACATGTACCTTAGCTGTGACTTTTAAGTGACTTTTTAAGTTAAAATGATAAATTTATGAATAATTAATATCCGAAACTGGTTGACAAAGTTAAAATAAATACCGGTATATAAACCGACATGGTGTTTAGATGTGTTGACCTCCTCCATGATTTTAGATTTAAATAAAAGATAGATGTCAATCTAACATATGTCATAAAGAAACTTTCAATGGGTTTCATTCTCATAAATGTAACATGATTGTCGTTATCTGTTCTGCTCCACATAATGTGGAGCCCTGGATAGAAAAGAATATATATGAAAAAAAATACATAGATAGGAAAGAATCGAAAGTACATGTAGTCAGATACTGCCTAATTAAAATATTCTATGGACCAACGGTGTTTCTTAAACATTGAATAGACAATATTCGTGTCATTTTTATTGAAGATATGGTAAATACTAGTTTACGGATATATTTCTGGTAAATGATACATTATGATAGTGTCAGACAAACTATTTTTCCGAGGAAAAATGACTCGGAACATTTGATTTTTAGCATATCGAGAATGTATATGTCTAGATCAATTCTCGTAGAACACCATATCAATTGTATGTAGCTTCCAACTTACAGATGGTTTGTGTTGTAAGAGAAGCAATTAGACCTCTTACGTTTTGGATATGTTTCAGCTTGAAGTCAACATGACACCCTTTTATTGTTTTGTTATCAATCATAAATGTTAACTTGATTATACTGACCACGATAGAATAACACTCACTTGCTTAATAGTTGGAAGATAATGCATATTTCTATGTTAAACTTGAATAGTTTATCCAAATTCTTCATAAAGTCCCCCCCCCCCCCACGAAATTCAGGTTATACTGAAAAACAGAACCTATGTTCAGTTAAACTGTATTCCAGTAGCTCTACTAAATACATTCCTCTAGTAAATACATGTACGTGCATTCTTAAATTACAATTGTTTCTATATTTAAACATGAGATGTGCATATTCACATGAAAGAAATAGTTATTCTTCATACGCAAAAAAAAGTATTTAAGGGAGAGACCTAAATTTAACGTATACGCATTATTTACTAATTAAATAATAAGTTTTAATTACATATGCACTAACACAGGTTCATACTGTATACTGACTTAAATAACTAATCCGTAGTTAGTACGAGAACATATCTACATATCTTTATCCTCTTGTCTTTGTTTAGTTATTATCACAAAAATATTTCAAACTTTAATTATTAAGCCGGTGCTAGGGGTGTGGACGGTAGCTAGCACTTCCCAGTACAGTCTATGAACAGATTCAATTGAACCGATCCTGCAACAGTTTCAATTTTGTCGTTTGAAGTGTGTTTTTATGGATTCCGTTTTTCTCTATTTAACCAGAACACAAGTGCATATACGATATTTAAAACACAACATAAACCTTTATTTCATTTCCATCTAACCCGACAAAAAGTCGACTGGTCTCATTACAGAATGCTAAACACTTAGGTTTAGGTTTTATACCTGAAATGAGACTTTGTCCTTTCCTTTCATTTCCTTCTTTTTCGTCTAATTTGACTGCACCTATTTCATTATAGTTCGAATTACAATAGTACAAAACCCCAGTATTGTCTATTTCCATACCAATTACGTCATACCTACATGACCTCAATCGGTCTAAATTTCTGAAGTCCTCACTTGAGAGTTCTACGATATACACGTACGTATGTCGAGAATTACCGGAGATATATATCCTTGAACGATCATCATCACATACAACATATTGCGGATTTTTGTTATCAACTAAAACCGATAAGAGAATCGTACCATCTGATTCGTATAGCTGTAATTTAGCTGTATTATCCTTTTCAATTACAATAGCTAAAAGTTTGTCTTTACTCTTTGTTATCCCGTAGCATTTGCCTGTACATGTAATGCTTTGTTTGAGTGAAAATTTTGAACTTTCGTCGATCGTTAACAATTCAATAATTTTCTTTTCTGGGACAGTAACAGCTACTTTATTGTTAGACACACAAGTGACATCCCATGGTGCTGACTTAACTTTCAATTTTGATATCACTTTATCTTCATCAGTATCAATAAGCTTCACGGATGAATTGCTAAAGTCGGTCAGAACAATTTTGCTATCTGCTATCAAAGCAAGCCCTGTAATGCAACAGTTCTTGCCATCAGTCACATCTTTGGTGTGCAAACTTTTAATTTCTACAGCAGACTTAATTACATTATTCTGAATATCAAGTGACCCGAAAGAGCTCAATTGTGTTGGTATATTTTTTATGGCTTCGTTAGGTATGAACTTGTACCTAGTAAAATTTAAATGTTCACTACAGTTTACCTCTGACATTTCATGGAAGTTTATGTCTACCTTTGCATCGGCCTTCTTAATAGCAAAACACAGTTGGTTCTTACTATACTTAGTCTTTTCTTTGAAGTAAGATTCCAATGTGTTCATGTCAAACAAAACGGCGTTGCATTTGTGTCTATATGGGACAATCTTATTCATATCTTCTTCTCTCATCTTATTAAGTTTCCCAGTAAGTGAACTATATAGGTTTTCAATGTGATCAATAGACATGCATTTTGCATCTAACATTTCTTTCTGAGCTACTTCGTGACAATTTTCTATAGCCTTTATGCTACTCTGAACTTTGGTCATCTTTTTTGAAACTTCATCACAAAGTGTATGCATTTTGCATTTTAACTTGTTCTCTTCTTGATGCACGTCAAAATCGTTGAAATAATCAGTGACACTTTTGACATCTTTGCAGACTTTGTGGCCCAAAGATAGGCATTGTGGACAACAAAACTCATTGTGTGATACACAGTAATAAGCAATCACCTGACTGGGATGCGCAGTACATTTTTCAGAAAATTCTTTTGAACAGTTTTTCACAACAGGTTGTGCAAGGAGTCCAGCATTTTCTTGAACCACATGGTTTCTTGTAGCAGCCAGTCGTTTATGGGCTTTGTGACAATGCTTGCACAGATATTCATTACATTCTTCACAGTAACTGACAGGAACTTCATGCTCATCCTCGTTCTTACAAGGACCACAAAAGAACTCTAATGCTTCGTCCGTATTTCCGTCTTCTTTTGCATCTGCCATCGTATCTCCGTCCTCTTTTGCTGTTGCCATCTGTCAAGAGTTATGGTAGTAAACACCTATAGGCACTATCAGAAACTGGAAAATTAACAAAACAATTGTGTTGTAGGACATTAATATTCAAAATTTGAACACAATTTACTGTACGGCTTTGGAATTTTAAACACTTATAAACACTTTTCTGTACAAAATGTATGTAATCTTTCTTTTTTTCAGGAAACTTTATTACCAGCCTTATGAAACTTGTTTGCCTAGTAATAATGGTTAGGAAAGAAAATATTACATCCAGCTAACACATTACAAAAGCAATGTTTTGTTTAATGTTAAACAGAATTTTAAAAACGGTTTAACAAGAAATTTTCATAGTTTGCAAGCAATCATAATCCCTACCGGTTAAAACCCCATCAAATGGAATGGTTTTGTTTCAAGTTTTTTTTTTAAGGGTAATTTGTTGGAAAGTTTTTTAAAGTGATCACGGGAAAACTTTTTTTAAAACAGAAGAAGAGGGACTAAAGGAATTTAAAAGTAATATTCGAAACACCCCCTGTTACAAAATAAAACATTTTAAAAAGAAAAAATGTTTTAATAGGAGATAACTCTTAAATTTAAAGATGAAATTCCCATAAAAAAATTTAGTTTTTTGACTTATAAAAAACAATTTTATTTTCCCATTTTTTAACCCCAATTTGTTGCCAAGGAAAACCATATTTTTTCAAAAATAGGGAAAACAGATAAGACATGCATAATCTCAAGACTTCCATCTACCCATATATCAAGTTTCATAAAAATATTTCCAGTACTTTTTGAGTTATCACTGGATTCAGTGTAAGTGTAAAATTTGCCATATTTTCAGTCTATGTGTTGCCATAGCAAACCAGAATTTTCAACATAGGAAGAAAAAGAATAAACGTGCATAATCTCCAGACTGCCATCTACCCATATTACAAGTTTCATAAAAATATTTCTATTACTTTTTGCGTTAACACAGGATCAAGTTTATGTGTAAAATTTGCCATATTTTTAGTCTATTTGTTGCCATAGCAACCAGAATTTTCAACATAGGAAGAAAAGAAAAAAACGTGCATAATCTCCAGACTGCCATCTACCCATATTTTAAGTTTCATAAAAAAATTCCAGTACTTTTTGTGTTATCACTGGATCCAGTTTATGTGTAAAATTTGCCATATTTTAAGCCTATTTGTTGCCATAGCAACCAAAATTTTCAACATAGGAAGAAAAGAAAATCAAAGTGCTGCAGCACTGAATGCGACGGACATGCAACCGGAGAGACATTAAGGCTTTTTTAGAAAAAAAAAACACAAAAGATATAACAGAGAAAATTTGTTCCATACAAGTTCGAGATTTGTAGAGGCATATATTTTTTAAAAAACTGTCAACGAAATATTTCTAAAATAAAAACATGCAAATAAACTTCAATATAATACAAATACATGTGAGAATGTTATTAGAATTGCTTCGTGTTATATCATAGTGGGCATATAGACAATAAAATATAAGTCATTTGTATTTTGATTTCTCTTGGATATGTCTCATTAAAATATTTTTGGTTAAAATCATCAGCAATTAATGGTGAATTTTTTTGAGATTTTTTTTTCATTGACTTAAGCACTACAGTGTTTAGTTGTCCCTTTCAATTTCACACTTTATTCCATTTTCAACTTGTTTGCTTTCTTACAATTGTATAGAATTTCTTAAAGTATTGCATGTATACACATGTAAACAAAATAAGTATCCGCTGTTTTATTTACTCGTCCGAAAGTTAGCACAGATGATGCAGAATCTATTTTTAGAATAGTGTTATCTTCTGGTCGAAGGCTATTATAATCACTCATATCGTGACTAGAAACTATGTAAAGCAAAACACAAGAATCGGAAGTAGAAACTGATATTATAACTTCCTTCAATAAAGATTACCATGAAAGACTACATGGTGGTAAAGTGTTAAAAAACTCCTTGTTACATGCACTATTTATAATACTAACCATTGTTCTGTAGTCTATTTTTTAATAACTGCTGGATATTCAGCTAACCCGCGATATGAGTCACGAAAAGAGTTGTTCTTTTATTAATGCGCGAGTTATTTCTAAAGTCACGAAAACCTTTTGATCTGTTAATAAAAATGTTTTGTTTTTAATGGGGAAATATTTATATACTACGGGGGCTACAGCGTTTTTACCAATCAAATACGTTTATATTTTTAACTTGGATAACTTAATTTGAAATTGAAAAGGCTAAATATGGAAGTTTTTAAGATATCCCGACGAAGTATGGGAGTTTCATAGGATCAAATTCATGTACTATTTCGTGGGCTGTTATTCGGTTGAGGACACATTGCGCGATTGTAGCCGACGAAATCCATGTGTAGATGACATAGCTCTGAACGCGCCTGAGGGCGCGTCCGTCGCAAAAACGTGCATAATCTCCATACTGCCATCTATCCATATATCAAGTTTCATAAAAATATTTTCAGTACTTTTCAAGTTATCGCGGGATCCAGTTTTGTGGACGGACGGACTGACAGACAGACAGACAGACAGACTGACAGACAGACGGACATACAGACAGACAGACAGACGGACAGACAGACGGACGGAGGGTAAACCTTAAGTCCCCTCCGGTAAACCGGTAGGGGACTAAAAATGATACCCTACCCAACCCATTTTAAACACTTGTTAGATCATTTTCCTAAGTGCATAATTGAAAATATCGCAAAAATCTACTAAAAAACGGCTGTTTTAAAAGTTTACCAAAAGTTTTACTATACTGGTTGATCTACGTTTTTCAAGTTTTGATTTTATCAGACTTTGAAAATGTAAGGTAGCGAATTTGTTCTCAAATTAAGCCTTTGTAAGCCAATAAATAACGTACATAGATGATATTGAATGAGTGTAAATTCAATACTGAATTTATTGAACGAGTGGAATAAAGTTATATTATGCGAGTCTCTGGCGAGCATAATATTGTTTTATTAAAATACGAGTTAAATAAATCTAGTATTGAATCTACACGAAAGTAATATTCTATTTATCACATATATAAAATAAGAACAGTTAACTGTTAAATGAATAATTTTTGGGTCGCTGCGCTTGCGCAGAGCGGCCCAAAGTTATAATTTAGCTACATCTGAAGCTTATGGCGAACCGAATTTCGGCTGAAATATAGGCCTACATGCACGTAGTAAATAGTTCCGTATGGTCGGTAACAAGTTAGAAAATCCGTACCTTCATTTGGGTCGCTGCGCTTGCGCAGAGCGGCCCAAAGTTATAAGCTACACCTGAAGCTTATGGCGAACCGAATTTCGGCTGAAATAATAGGCCTACATGCACGTAGTAAATAGTTCCGTATGGTCGGTAACAAGTTAGAAAATCCGTACCTTCATTCATTACAGGAGGGTTATCATACATTTTGAAATGTATCATGATATCGAAAATTACAGTAAATTTGCGCTGTGTACAGAAAATTATCAATGCGCGATTGAATCACGTGACAGGTCATTGAGGTCAGCCATGTTGATTCGACTTTCGTCAGTTCGTTATTTGATACAGACAGCCAGGATATTTTGAAGAAATTGTAAGTTCTTTAGTTATTTTTCACAGTTTCCTCGATTGAATAAGAAAGACTTTATGAAACTGAGCCACCCGTGTGATCAATTTTTGAAGATTTGTTTATAACATTTGTCGGTAACAGTGTAACGATTTGTCACCGTGACGATTCGTCCCAATTTAGTGACGATTCACCCCACCTAAAATTAACATTTTTAAAATTCATTTTTGATTAGGCTAAATAAGAAAGACTTTATGAAACTGGGCCGCCCGTGTGATAAATTTTTGAAGATTTGTTGATAAAATTTGTCGGTAACAGTGTAACGATTTGTCACCGTGACGATTCGTACCAATTTAGTGACGATTCGCCCCACCTAAAATTAACATTTTTAAAATTCATTTGGACTGAAAAATATTTATGGTTTGAGTATTTTTGCATTTGTTTGGTATATCCTTTAATTTAATAGATAACAGATAAAGGATTCAAATAACTAACTGTATAATAATAAATTATAAAATTAATCTGGATTCTCATTTGTATAGGATATAAGAATTTAATAATAATAAAAAATAGATAATAGATTGCTGTTATAGATTAGTATGGTTATATTGTTTTATTTACTCAATCATAGATATTCGTTTCTACCAAGCAGACTGTCATACATTGTATAATCTATTGTCTATTATCTGATTTAAAATAAAGGAAATTTAGACAATGCAAACAGAAAAGTGAAAGGTGTCATATAATCTAATTTTAAGGTGCAGGGAGTTACTATGGAGTTGTAGGGGCAGAAATCTGTGTTGAAGTGGTTTTTGGTTTGTTGATTCTAAACCACTGGCCCCTGGCTGTTGTTCGAAAATAAATTCAGTTTGAATGGTTGACCTATTTTACAAACTTTTTTCAGCGTCTCTCTGACAAATTAAATTAGTTAGACTAATAATTCTATTGAATGCTATTGACAATGTATTGTAGCATGACATTATGTAATGGCAAATTGGTGAACAAAAATTATTGTTTGTTTACAATGATAATCATGAGGAAAAATAGAATCTAAGAACACCAAATGACACCATGATAATGTTGCAAGCTCGGTTTGTTTGAGGGTAAACATACTGGAAAGCAATTTACTGTCCTTCACCCCTAGCACTACTGCTTAAAGTCATAATATCGCCCCAGAAATGATTTTATTTATTTTTCAAAGCCTGTTATTTTTGGTGGCCTGTTTATAAATTCAAAAAGATACTCAAATGGGCAATTATCTAAACCAATTTTGCTCAGCTGTTGCTTTTTAGCAATCACAGTATAGTTAAATGATTTAGTATTTTGTATGGAAGTCAAAAAACTACTTTGGTTACATGCAAAAGTAAGCCTTTGTTTAATCTGTCCTAGAGGAGGTGTTGATTATCTTTAAACTTCGGTTCTTCAAACACTAACTGAGTTCAAATACTTTGCCAAATTCAGTTTTATAGTCTCTAATTATTGAAACATCTAAACCAATTTTGAAACAAGAAAAA